GTATTATCTCGGACACAAGCGGCGTTCTGTTTGTCGAGATTCCATACCGAGGAAAGATCACCATGTTGCGTAATCACACGACTTCGGACCGAGAAGCTAGTCAGGTCAAGATTCAGTAATCAGACTCTGACGTATCCAAAAGCAAACTTACAGCACCCACTTATAAACTCTGTATGATTAGATGATGTTTGTGTACGTTACATGTCCAAGAACAACATGGAACACGTCTTCTAGTAGTAGGCTCGGTACATAAGAGAAAGACTGCTGAGTTGGCGAATCGAAAACGTTCGGCATACGTGTTATGCAGGAGCCTACTGCGTATTTGTACTAGGAGGTGTGCTTATAACTACAGACTTGAGACGCGGGGTTCAAGTTTGGTCAGAAATGTCTAGCTTAGCAAGGTTAAGCCTTCGACTTGGCGAATAAGCCTTCCCTTTACGGAAACCATTCTTTCTCTACACGAATTGTAGAAGGAAAAGCCGCCGTCGCGGGGCAAATTAGAACATACCCGAAAGCACCCCGACAAGTCACAAGGAGACCTAAGGTGTAATGTCGTGTTATTGTGTCATGCAGAAACAATAATGAACCGTCGTAACCGCTCGTTGTATCTAGTCTACCCTCTATCCTCCTCTGTGCTAATAACAGAACAGGGACATCATACTTCTCGTCTTCAAGACCCTTCCATCACTAAACATTGTAAGCCCGTTCCAAAACATCGGCAACCAATCACACAAACAATCCCACCTCATTCACCGCACACAAATCCGCAGACTTCCGGAGACGCTGAATACACATGTACAAATGAGCGCATTGAGAAAATTCTTTCTTGTTGCTAATACATGCCGTTCATATCGAAGTTTGGTCCATTCCCAATTTCTACGTGGTTTCTGCTCATCATCATCCACTACCCCTACCTCTCTTACTCATCAATCTCTCTCTGTCCCTCTCTACATCTCTCACTTCACAACCCTCTACTGCTTACTCAATCTTCATCTTCTCAAACTGTCCAATACTAGCCTCCCAATTCCTCGCCTCCAGCTCGGCCGTCCTCAACTTCTCCCTCTCCTGCTCTTTAACAGCATCACTAACTTTCGCTTCCCACTCATCATCCATAATCTTCTTCTGACGCGCAATCGTCTCATTAGCCTTGTTCAGTCGGTCTGCCGCCTTGGAAATCTCTTTATCGAGCTCAATGCGACCTTTAACGTCGAGGTACGCCGTCGCAGACGTGCCAATGGTGTAGACGGCGCAGCCAGACGGTGCCGTATCCGTGGGCGACAGGATCGTAATGTCGGCCACAGTCTTTCCGGCGAGCGAGCGGATGGAAGGGAGGGAGGTCGGGGTTGTGAGGGTGGCGTGGGTGGCTTGGGTGAGGGACTGGATATAGGTGGCTGCGCCTTCTTTGATGGCGTATTCAGCCGTCAGAGAACGCAGACCCTTTGCGCTGTCGACAAGGAGCTCGTACTCTGCGTTTGCAGTCGCGTCTTCAAAGTCTGGTGTGTACTGAGGGAAGGGTGCAATAGTGATGGAGGGCGTCTTGTCGCCTTGTCGGCGAGGGAGACGCTGCCAGAGCTCCTCTGTCAGGAAGGGCATGAAGGGGTGGATCATGTTGAGGCCTCCCTCAATGGCAGTGTAGAGTGTCTGTTTCGCGCTTTCCTTCTGCTCTTCGCTACCTTCGTCGAAGATGGCTTTGCTGTTCTCAATGTACGTGTCGCACAGGTACTCGTAGAAGTACTTGTAGGCGGTCTGGGTGGCAAGACTGAACTCGCGTGCCTCCAGGTGATCGTTGATCTTCTTGGCGGCAACATTGAGCTGATGCAAAATGTATCGCTCAGGTAGTGACTCTGAGCCTCCCTTTGTGACCTTCTCCCGTGGGGTGAAGTCTTCTCCCAGACGTCCAATGACGTACTTCGTGGCCTGGTAGATCTTGTTGCAGAACCTTCGGTATCCGTGGATAACCTAGACCAACGAGTCAGTATACATTCTTGAGGGCAGAATATCAGAAATCACTTACGTTGACATCAAAAGAGATATCTCCTCCTCCGGTGGTGTATCCAACAAGGGCCATGCGCAACGCATCAGCGCCGCACTCAGGAATACCCTGGGGGAAGGCAGTCTTTTGATACTTCTCCGCCTTGGTCAACTCCTTGGGGTCAAGGTTACCCGCACGAAGCTGGTCGTGCAGCTTTTGCAGTGTGATACCATCCATGATGTCGACAGGGTCTACAACGTTACCCAGCGACTTGGACATCTTCCTGCCCTCAGAGTCACGGATGAGCGAATGGCAGTATACCTCCTTGAACGGAACTTTGCCGGTGAGGTAGAGCGACAGGAAGATCATCCTGGCAACCCAGAAGAAGAGAATATCCCACCCAGTCTCTAGGACAGATGTGGGGAAGAGCTTGTCCAAGTCGGCAGTCTGGTTGGGCCAGCCCAGGGTGGAGAACGGCCACAGACCAGAGGAGAACCATGTATCGAGGACATCCTCGTCCCGCGATAGCGTAAACTTCTTGCCAGGGAACTTCTTCTCTGCCTTGGCTCGTGCCTCCTCTTCTGTCCGACCAGTGATCCAGCGTTCGTCTTCCGTTCGGTCACCTGCCTCGCCTTCGATTTCAACAAAATAGGCGGGGATTTGGTGACCCCACCAGAGCTGTCGTGACAAGCACCAGTCTTGGATGTTGTTCATCCAATGCATATAGACCTTTTCCGAGGTTGCGGGCTTGATCTTGATATCGCCCTTCTCGACAGCCTCGATAGCGGGCTTGGCGAGACTGTCCATCTTCATCCACCATTGCGGCTTCATGATGGGCTCGATGACATCTCCAGACCTTGAGCAGATCGGGACCTTCATGGGGTTGGGTTCCGTCTTGACAAAGAGTCCCTCCTTCTTCAGCGCATCGACGACAGTGTAGCGGACATCAAAACGCTTGCTTCCTTCGAACTGACCAGCGTTCTTGTTCATGGTTCCGTTGTCGTTCAGGATGTTGATGAACTCGAGACCATGCTTCTTTCCGAGGTTGAAATCGTTGGGGTCGTGCGCTGGTGTGAGTTTCACAGCACCAGTACCAAACTCGGGGTCAACATATTCGTCGGCGACAATGGGCATGAGGCGGTCGATAAAGGGATGGCGAGCCTTCTTGCCGACGAGGTCCTTGTAACGGTCATCCTTGGGGTGGACAGCGATACCAGAGTCACCCAACATGGTTTCGGGACGGGTGGTAGCAATCTCGATGAACTGGTCGGTGCCTTCGATGGCGTACTAGAGAATATCAGCAGATGCATCTTGGTTTGTACAGTCTGTCATACCTTGAAGTGTGTGAGGACACCAAACTCTACCATTCTCTCATACCCAGGCACGGACAACTTGGTAGGACCCGCTAGATCTTTGTTGTCGACCTCAAGTGTACTAAGCGCCGTGTTGAGAGCCGTGCACCAGTTGACCAACCTGTTACTACGGTAAATCAGACCATCCTCATGCAGACGGACGAAGGTCTCGGTAACAGCCTTGGAGCAGTTCTCGTCCATGGTAAAAGCCTCGCGCGACCAATCGAACGAACCACCCATTCTCCGCAGCGTGTTTGTGAGGTGCTGATGGTATTCTTCTTTCCATTCCATGGTCCGCTCAAGGAACTTTTGACGACCAAGGTCGTATCGCGTCTTGTTTTCCCGTCGCTTGAGCATCTTCTCTACAACGGACTGTGTAGCGATACCTGCGTGGTCGCAACCAGGCAGGTACAGAGTAGTGTAGCCTCTCATCCTATGCCACCTGATGAGAACATCCTGTAAACTCGTAGCGAGAGCATGTCCACAGTGTAGCTTTCCAGTAACGTTGGGCGGCGGGATGGGAATGACAAAGTGGCCCGGACCCTTGTTCTCACCATTCTCGGTGAACTGAGGCTTGAAGAAGCCCTGAGAGTCCCACCATGCGTCCCACGCTGACTCGACGACCTTGGGAATGTATGCCTTTGTGTATGGGTCGTCCAGGGGCTTCAGCCTCTTCTTCTCGCCCTTTGGGGTTTCCTCGACGTACGCGGGTAGTTGTTCCTCCTCCTTGCCCTTCTTCTTCTTTTCCTTGGCTGGAGCGGCGCCGCCGTCTTTAGCGGCACCGGCGGCTGCTGCCTTCTTTGCCTTGAATTTTGCATCCTTCTCAGCCTTCTTGCGCTCCTTCTCCAGCTCCTTGGCCGACTTCTCCTTCTTCTCTACGCCCTTTTCATTCTCACGGCCGGGGGCATGTTGGCCGGTAGCGTCGTGTTCAGCAGCACCCAGGATGTCCTTCTTGACGTCTGCGCCGAGCTCGGGTGGTGGCGCAGTGTTGGGCGCCGTCTTCTCGCCGGTCGAGTTGTGCGAGGACGCGTTGAGCGCCATGGTTGCGGTCGAGTAGGGGCGCTCGGCGTGAAGCGGGGTGTAGGTTCGCGATAGAGTGCGGATTGGGGACCTCAATTGCAACTGGCGCCTTGTGAGATGTCGGTACTCGAGGTTTCGTCTGCAGGCGGCGCGCAGTGTAGTGGGCGCGGTGCGGGGCAACATTAACAAAAAAGTGCCTGGGTGTGAGTCGTCCAAGTCCGGGCCTGCGTCACCCCACATCGAGAAGCTCGGACGGACCCCGCCTACGACGAACCATGGAGCGATGCTAGGCAATTCACTCAAAGGCACTCTCCGAAATCATGTCGGTAGTGTCCGATGTCAAAAACAGAACGTTCATTTACTACGCTCGACTTGAGTCACTTGGAGTAGATTGAGCATCCGAAAACACCTCAATATGCATCCAGACTCCTATAGACCGTTACTTGCGTTTCCCCCCTTCGCTTATACAAGAATGATACCTAGCACCCTGCCCTGTACACCTTATCGCTCCGTGATTCATGCCCAGTATTTGTTTGTACGCCGGTACCTCAGCTGCGTCTCAATGGAATATATGGGGAAGCAAGACCGCGTGTTTCGTTCGCTGCAACTTTTATGCCATTACATAAAGTCTAATTAACGTAAGTTGGGTATCTCAATCATGCCGCGGCGCTATTTTGCTGCGCAGCCTGTCGGACAGGAGCAAAGTAAGGATGTTGCATGGCTTCTTGGGCAGTCAGTCGGTCCTACCATATGTCAGTCATCTATATTACATGCCCGTGTAGGCTATGACAAACCTGATGGTCGTATCGTAGCAGCTTGTCGAGGAAGTCAATCGCGTCATTACTGACAAAGCGCTGGTTCTCGGCATTGATGAACGAGTGCCACGGCTTCTTGGGATACCGGCTGAGTATGTCGTCATACTGGGCATCTAGTTCAATGTCGTACTTGTCGAGATAGTCGAACAAGTCCTCGGTTCCAAGAACCTTGGCAATCTTGACAAGCTGGTCTGAGTTGCTGTTGCCTAAAGTTGGGTTGTAACAAGTCAGCCTGTGCCTCACATGCAGCCTAGGTATCGTGGTTGTTTACCGTGGAAGAAAGGTTCGCGCCTAAAGATCATCGAGGCGAACATGGCACCTAGTGACCACATGTCGAGCGAGTAGTCGTACTCTTGAAAGTCGACTAGTAGCTCAGGACCCTTGAAGTAACGTGACGCGACGCGGACGTTGTATTCGGTTCCTGCGTGGTAGAATTCCGCTAGACCCCAGTCGATTAGGCGCAACTAGTACGTGTTAGCCATGTTCCTCCACTTTGAAACCGGTACACGCCCACCTTCCGCTTCTCATGGTCGATCATAACGTTGTGAGGCTTGACATCACGGTGCATGATGCCTTTGCTGTGGCAGTAGTCGAGGGCCTTGAGCAATTCAAAAATGTAGTATCGCACGTCATAGTCCTGGAACTTGGGGTACAGACTCCGAAAGTCAGTATTGTTGACATATTCAAAAATCAGCGAAGGGGTTTTGCTCTGTTTGGCGGTCGTTAGCATTTCTTCATAAGCAAACGGCAGCGGTTGGGCCTCAGTACCCAGTCGCCAATCCAGTCGGAGCCGTCACTAACCTGGTTGTCGCGCACCACGTCCAGCAGCGAGACGATGTTGGGGCCACCCGACAGATTTTGCAGGATCTTGATCTCACGCTTTATCTTCTTCTTCTTGACGGGTTTGAGGACTTTGATGACGCATTTCTGATAGTTGACGACGTTGATGCCCTCAAAGACTTCCGAGTACTTTCCGCGGCCAATCTTGCGGACGACCTCGTAGTTCTCGAGCACGCCCCAGGAGATGTTGACAGAGTCGTAGTCCCAGTATGACCGGGGCATGTTCGCATTGACATCTGCATAGACGCGAGCAAGGCTTGTAGCCCCGCTCGAGTTGTTCAGCGCCATCCTGGCAACAAGCGTATTGTCTGGGAGTGAAGTGTTGCCGGTATGGTCGACACGCGCAAGGGATGGTGTCGAGGGATCGTATAGTGGGGTGAAGAGGCGGAGGACGTCGGGTCTTTGTGAGAGCAAGCCAAGGCCAGCGAGCGCAGCGAATAAAGCGAGCGCAACTGTTGCGTACCGAGGGAGGTGCGCTAAAAGGCCGTCACGACAGTCGCGATGGGCCTCCTGTGTGGGCGGGGGTGCCTTGGGGTCGGCGGTGGTGAGCTCTGGCTGCTCGTGTTGATGGTGGTGGTGGTGGATGGCTTGTGGGCGTTAGACTAGTAGTAGACAAGGGCCAAGCTTTTCCCAGCACGCGGGCCCAGCTGCTGAATGACGATCCATCTCACTTACAATTATCATTTGGCTTTCGCTGTCGCACTTGTCCTCCGCCCTCTGCACCAGCCATTGCAGCCATGTTCCACGATCTAAATATCCCCTGGACCGATGCGACGCGCGAGCTGCAGCGCACAGTAGCTTTTCTCGACGAATGTGAGCTTTTAGTACAGGTTGAATGCGCCAGTGGTAGGCTGACGCGGTGCAGTAGGATACGATGTCGTTGCGCTCACACACACTTATTCGGGAAAACTACCCTCTGATATTGTAGGTAAAAGGAAGCGGCGACCTTCTCTCTGTCCACCCCTCTCACCGAATACTATATCGCTTTCACATAAGTCTGTTCGCCCGCTAACGCTTCTCAACCAGAGTTCACCCGTACCCACCACCCTTCCTTTCCCCGTGCCCCCCCGCATGCGTATCCTCCGCCGCTGCAACATCTTCCTCACAGACTCTGCCTCCAACTTCCGCATACCCCAGCTGCAACAACACTACGACGTCGTCGCCGCACGTCCAACCGACGACCGCACCCTCCAGCAAGCATGTATGAGCCTCGACGTAGACATCATCTCCCTAGACCTGACCCGCCGCTTCGAATCATACTTCAAGTTCCCCACGCTGGGCATGGCTATATCCCGGGGCATTAAGATTGAAATCTGCTACAGCCAAGGCATCATGTCCAACGATCCCGGCGCAAAGCGAAATCTGATTAGCAATGCCACACAGCTCATACGTGTGACCCGTGGTCGGGGCTTGATATTTAGTTCGGAAGCGAAGAGCGTGCTAGGCATACGTGCACCGAGCGATGTTATCAACCTGGCTTCTGTGTGGGGACTTGGTACCGAGAGGGGCAAAGACGGTCTTACCAAGGAAGCGAGAAGCGTGGTTGAGTTTGCGCGACTGAAGCGCCAGAGCTTCAAGGGCATAGTAGACATTGTCTATGGTGGAGAGAAGCCGGCGGAAACACTCGCGCATGGTGCCAAGGACAAGCAAGGTCAGAAGGAGAAAGTGAACAAAAACCAAAATGGCAAGCGGCCGGGTGGGAGTCTCGAAGGTACTCCACTCCACGAGACCAAGGTAGACAAGCCCGTCTCGAAGCGCCAGCAGGCCAAGAACAAGAAGGCGAAGATACAAGTGGGCGGAGAAGAAAAACAGCCGTAACGAAGGCGTGACATGTACGCTCACCGCAGACACCAGATGATACCCCATAGACAAAAGCAGCAGTAATGCGCGACAAGGATCGCATGCACACTTTTTTGTATTCTCTCCCCCAATATTACTACCTCGCAGGAGCACTCAATGCTCAACTGCCACTACCGAACAGATATATACCACAGAAACAGACCCAACACGCGCGCAAAATCCACACAAGAAAAAGATTTCCGTTGTGCCAATTGTACAAACATCTACCACCACCCCCTCTTGACTTCCGTCGGCTTGGCCAACCTCCTCCCCAAGTTCACCGTGACCCGACTCTGCAACGCAACCGTACTAATATCAAAGGGCAAGGGTTGTGCCGAACTGTCCCCCACAGCAGTAGGTGCAGGCGCGTTGGCCGCAACTTGGCTTTGAGCAACTGCACTCGTCGTGGCCTGTGGTGTGGACGAGGAAGACGTAGCAGAAGATGCAGGTGCAAGTGATACTTCGACAGAAGGCGAGATGGAACTAGACGCGGATGTCACAGCAGCAGTGGACCCAGAAGCGGCCGAGGTAGAAACAGAAGCATCGCCACTAGCTACCATAGTAACCCCTGCTCCAGCCGCACTCGTCGTAGTCCCAGCCATGAGACCAGGGCGCGTCAGTGTAGCCGAGTCGATAGATGCGGTACTGCTCGAACTCGTGGAAGCAGCTTGTTGAGCACCGGGCGGCGCTTCGCCTCCAGCTACCACTGTCACCGCACTACCGACTACAGTTTGCATTGTGCTCGCACTTCCCGATGGCGCGCTGCTCATGGAGCCTAGTTGGAAGGGCTGGGCTTGTGGTGCAGACATGGGGAAGGAACCGGCAGGACACATGCAAGCGCAATTGCATTGAGAAGCTGCCGTAGCTGCCGCGGCGCCACCGGTTCCTGCGACGACGGTGACGGCTGCAGCCGCGCCTGTGGTAGTCGATGCGGCTGCGATGCCGGTAGGCTTGAGAGAAGCTGTGTTCATTGAGGCTGTGACTGAAGAGGAAGATGCTGCTGCGTTGGCGGTTCCGTTGGTTCCATCTCCTGCAACAACGGTGACGGCGGCCGCTGCGGACCCAGCAGATGATGAAGAAGATGCGGCCGCATTGGCAGTACCGTTGGTCCCGTCGCCAGCAACAACTGTGACAGCCGCCGCAGCACCAGCACCACTAGACGAAGCGCTCGTCGAGGCATTGTTGGCGCCAGCGGTACCGTTACTACCACTCCCACCCGCCTGAACAGTAACTGCCATGCCCACCATGGTCGTGGTCGTTGCAGCCAGACCTCCAGGCGTGAGCGTAGCCGAGTCAATTGCTGCTGCACTGGCAGTGGTCGAGTTTGAGGCACCTTGTGCACCGGCTGTGAGCTCTCCTCCTGCAGAAACAGTGACAGCAGCAGCAGGGGGTGCGGCAGCCAGAGCCTTGGAAAGGGTTAATGATGGTTCAGATCGAGTCCAGATTATCAACTTACTGTAGAGTTTTTGCCTTTGGCTAGAGTAGCAGTCGCCATAGACTCAGCAGCGGGCATAGCAGCCTGCGTAGCATTCTTGCTGCTTGAAGATCCAGCGGCCATAGGGGAATTTGTCCAGGGAATTGGGGTTACAGCTGGTAGAGCTGATTTTCCTGCGGGAAAGACTGTCTTTGCTGGTTTGGAGGCAGAGGAAGATCCCGCTGCTGACTCTCCAGCAGGTGATGACGGTGCAGCTGGGGCTTCCCCAGTCGCTGCCGATGATGCGGATGTTGCTTCTGCTGCTGCGGATGCTTCACCTGCAGCGGCTGGTGAGGGAGCAGCTGCTTGCTGAGGTGCGGCCTCTACTAGCGCTGTTGCGAGCTTCTGGCCATTGGCTTCTGTGATGACGGTTGAGATTACCTGGATAGGTTGAGCGTTACTGCCGTTCTGTTGTGCTTCAGCTTGTGTTGGTGGTGGTAGCTGGCCCTGTCCATTGGGTGCGAGTTGGTTTGCTAGGTCCCCAGCAATGTCGTTGACGCTGTTCTCTCCTGCTGCGGGCTTCGGAGCTAGTTGATTTGCAAGATCACCTGCGACATTGCTCGAGTTGATGTCGCTTCCTATGTTTTGGGTACCGCCTTGTGACGGCACCTGTTCAGGGTTCTGACGCTGACTTTGGCCCTGCCCTTGTGGTACACTGGTCTGGTTCGTCGATGCGCCCGGCTTTTGCCCATCGAGCCCGCTAAGAATGCTGTCGATGCTCGTTGAACCTCCGCCAGCAATCTGATTTGCAAGGTCACCTCCCACGTCGCTCGTGCTGATGTCTCCGCTGCCGCTCCTTTGGTCTTGTCCTTGCGCGATTCCGGTTAGCAAGGCGTTTGCGTCTAGTCCGTTCTGTGCGATCCTGGCGGCGATGTTCCCGTTGTGCAGTGCATTTGCTTGTTCGGTGACAGGTACGTTGAGTGCTTCTACTGGATTTCCTTGCGACCGCTCGGCCCCTGATATCAAGTCCTCAATCCTTCTCCCGACGGTTTCGGGCCGTACATTGGTGTTGTGGAGATCAATCGTTGCTTGGGCGATGGTCTATCAACGATCAGTACATGCGATTTCTTCAAGCATGCAACATACGTACCGCGCTTATCAGGAGCAGGGCTCGCACCCAGGATGCCTGAGCTCTTGTCATGGTGAGTTTTCGGAAATGTAGATATTCGAGTACGATGAAAAAGGAAATTAGTAATTAATACATCAACAGTCCAGCTGGAAAAGAATCGAAGACGATGTCACAGACATGCAGAACCGCTCAGCACCTGCACAGCAGAAAGACCGAGGAGAGTTGAAGATAGGATGGAAACGTGTCGACACACAATGGAAACAGATGGTTCGGATCCAAACGAGCGAAGCTTCCGGATAGTGCAAGAGCGAGCCAAAACCATTCAAAGGTTCATGACTGAGGCGCAAACTATCCTACTTAACGGGTGCGACATGTCAGCCCCGCTCGCCATGTTTCTAACAATGTGGTGCTGGTTTCGAGCTTCCGCGGCTGCTCGAACGATGGTCAAGTGTGTCTCAAAGGTCGAACGAAGGGCCCAGCGTGCAGTAGCGCTGCCGGTAATGTCATTGTCGGGTCAACCTAGTCATCAAGGTTTCTCGCAGGATGGTGGCGTACGATCCATGATCGACGGGCCCGCGATAGGCAGTTTTGGTGGTGGTTAAGCTTCACGATCGTCTGGCCAGCTGCCACGGTGGTAAGGTCTGACACGCGATGTGCTCGAGGCGATGGAGTTTAAAACCAGGGACGTTTCAGGCAATGGCATGCCGTTTCTGTCTCTCCGCTCGTGCATGCATGGTATCTATCTTTGACCATTGATTTATTTCCGCTTAGGTACTGTACAGCATTCCATTCCCGCTCATCGCGAAGCGTGGATGTTGGTGTTTTGTTGTGAGAGCTGTGCACAAGGCTGGTGATCGCGGTCGAGAGTCGTGCCTAGTCATCGTGGCTTGGCGAGCGATGACGTGCGTCATCACCCTTGTGCCTGACGCTTCACAGCCCCTAGGGCCAACTTCTATCGCGAAATATACGATTTTGGCTCGTCGGGGTCGGCCAAATTTTGCCAGCGCACAGTGGAAAGCCCGGCTTCCGTACGTAGCGACCAGCTGTAAGACTCGAGGGTTTTGTATATGTAGCCGTATTCCTGCTCGAACGTGCCCGTACACAACGTCAGCATCGTCCAGCAGCCAACATGGCAGCCATACACGTCCTTGACGACTACTATCTCGCCATCACGTTCCTCATCACTGTTGCTTACCAGCTTTTCTTCTTTGCCATCGCCTTCTGGTTCAAGTTCGACAAGGTCACCGACTTTGCCGGCGGTACCAACTTCATTCTTCTTGCTATCCTCACACTTTCGTTCAGCGACAACCGCGGCGATGCGCGCAACATTGTAGCATCGCTCTTCATCATGCTATGGGCAGCAAGACTAAGCGGTTTCCTTTTGTTCAGGATTTTGAAGAGTGGAAAAGATGATCGCTTTGACGACAAGAGGGACAAATTCTGGTCTTTTCTGGGATTCTGGGTGTTGTGAGTTGCTCTTAACGTCATCTAAATGTGATTGCTGATGTTTGTAGTCAAATGTTCTGGGTTTGGACAGTATCATTACCAGTTACCATCCTAAACTCGCCCAAGGTTACTCGATTCAATCAGCCGGAGTTTGGAACGGGTCGAGACATCGCGGGCATCATCCTCTGGTCTATCGGTTTCATTATGGAGAGCGTCTCAGATGTTCAAAAGTACAGATTCCGTACTGCTCATGGTAGCGACGGTGCGGTCTGCAATGTTGGATTCTTTGCTTGGACTCGGCATCCCAACTACTTTGGAGAAATCATCATTCAATTTGGTAAGTATTGTTCATTCATATTTTGATGTCAAGGCTAATTGTCACAGGCATCTTCATGATTGCTGTATCTCCCGCAGCATACAACTACGTTTCGGGCGGCGCGTATGATGCGCTGTACGCGTCTATCCTTGGACCCTTCTTTTTGACTTTACTGCTCATGTTTGTGTCTGGCCTGACATTGCAAGAACGTCCCGGTGCAAAGAAGAGGTATGAGAAAGGCACTCAATGGCCCGAGTACGAGCGATACCTCCACCGTACGAGCATTCTCATCCCTTTTCCGCCTCAAATCTACGCCAGGTTGCCGGTCATTCTCAAGAGAACCATCTTCCTGGAGTTCCCAATCTACGTCTTCGACCCAGCGAAGCATGCGGACCAGGACAAGGTACAAGCTAGATCCGCGGAGGAGGGACAGAGCAGGCCAAGTGACGAAGAGGGCTTGAGATCTTGAAGTATCACCACCTGCCCATCGACTGTTTAATGCGATGATACCCATTTCCCGGCAATTAATACCTCGTGTATTCACGACTTAGTTAGAGTGCTTGTTCAGCGCATAATCGTAATTCAGCTTTGTAAACATACCCTCAAACGACATGTGTGCCAAGACGAGACATGCCTTTGCTTGTATGTGACTCACGCATGACTTTCAATATTCTACAGCTGTTACAAATGAGCGGGTGCGAGCCGCCGGCCTTCTCATGATCCGTGTTATCGTGAGCGTTTATCAGTACCAATTTAATCAAGGTTCAGTATTCTAGCTTCGTTGAGTGCCAAAAAGTCATCGTGCTCAGGTTGATGGGGTTGATGGTTGCTGTTCTAATCTTCATATCAAGACAATGTACAGCCCTAAGTTCACGCGTTGGGGTGGTTTGATGAGCCCTGCGTGTTCCTGCTCACTGCCCCTGCGTTAGGGGTGGCAACAACTCAAGGGCGACACAACCCAGCAATGTTCGTGCGTCCCATCCCTCGCCAAAGCTTCCACGGTCCTCGCATTTGAGCCGTGTCCTTGTCGGCGATGACATGTAAGAGCGCAATCATCAAGTCGAGTAGTGGGATGCTTTCGCTTAGTCAGTGGCTGGGCGAATCAATTCACCCGGGCTTATCGCGCGAACACCGGAGATCACCTCACGCCATCGCATAAACCACACCCACGGGACGGTGAGGGCAGTCAAAACCATCAAAATTTATACCTCATGCTCGCATCTTTCCTTGGCTCGTCGTATTAGTTGGACGACTAGCAGCCATGAGCATGCTGGCGCGTGTTATCGACTCGGAGGCTGCTTCCACCCCGCGTCGCCAATGGATTGAGCACCTCGAGATGGGATTGCGTCATTGCGTCGCTCCAAGATGACCTGTTTGCAGGACTGAAAGAGCAAATATAAGAGGCTGAAACCGCGCTTCGCCCTGCTGTTCGACTATCCTAGCGATTACTACATCCTTGACAACAACTCTTTTGATATTTCAAGAAGATAACATTTGTTTTCCAGACAACTGCGACATCACACCACAGTAAAATGACTACAACACCAATTCACTCGACAGGCCGCGGAGGTGCGCTTTCTCTGGAAAGAGAATTTCCGATACACGCAAGACAAGAAGCTGATCGCTGCTGTAGGTGCCGGCAACATTGGCCCTGACACCAACGTCTACACTGACGGAGGCCTCGTTCGCGAAGGCGTCCAAGGCGAGTCTCTCGATGGCGATTTCTCCACTGGCCGTGGGGGGGCTGGCAACATTGGAAAGTCGCCTCGCGTAGGGCCGCAGTCTGACGAAGGCCGTCGCTCGGTAGACATGGTCCCCGAGATCAACCAGCGCAACGCGCAGGACGAGTTCCACACTGGCGTACGTCATAGCATCTCAAGAATGCAAGATACAACTAACATGATTGCAGCGAGGTGGCGCCGGAAACGTCTACAAGGAGAAGCACGGCGGCCACAGCTCCTCACCCGACCGCAAGGGTTTGGGCGAGAAGGTCAAAGAAGTGCTCCATTTGGACAAGAAGAAGGAACATGAGCCTTCTCCTCTAGCCCAGAACACGACTACGAACTAGATATGATACCCGAGTCGAGCGACTCTGATGGAGGAATGGTAGTGGCACGAGCGTTGGATATTGATGATACCTCAGGCTGTGGTCTCTCACCAGGAGACAGCCTTGCTCTTCATTCCGTTATTAATAAACACATGCACTCTTTCAGATACATGCGCGACTTGGTTGAATCTGGTGAGACGGGTGTTTGTACCGTGCCTAACTACGACGGTGGGGTGACGCCTAGCGCGGACCACGTGGGGTAGTCGCGAAACCAGGTCGCGTCATCTGGCTTGTGAAAATCGGCCAAACTTGACAAAGCGGTCACAACACTGCGCAGCATCACAATGGCTTCCAACGGACCCGACGCCGAAGCTCTCATACACTCTGATGATCCAAGCCACCCTGCGAACCACATTTGCACGCTCTGCGCAAAGTTCTACAACTTGGGCTGGGTACGATGACCTCGAAGCGTTGGGCGACGCCAACCAAGACACGATTGAGTCACGGCTAACACGCGGGTTCCCGCCAGGTGACAGGCACTGGCGGAGGAACGAGCATACGCCATGAAGACAAGATTTACATTGCGCCCAGCGGCGTGCAGAAAGAGCTCATGAAGCCCACCGACATGTTCGTCATGGACTTCAACAGCAAAGAATATTTGAGAAGACCACAGGTACACGTGACGGAGCCAGGTCGGCCGCAAGGTGACTGATGTCGTTTTAGGTCCTCAAACCATCAGCGTGTACTCCCCTCTTCATGGCCGCCTTTGAACGCGGCGCCGGCTGCTGCATCCACACCCACTCGCAATGGGCCGTCCTCGTCACCCTCCTCGTCGAGCGCGACTTTGGAAAAGACGTATGCTTCGAGATTGAGGAGATTGAACAGATCAAGGGCATACCAAAAGGCCGGGGAAAGCAAGGCAACCTGGGCTACTACGATCGTCTGCGCATACCCATCATTGAGAACACGGCGCACGAAGAGGATCTGAGGGAGAGTCTAGAGGAGGCCATGGAGAAGTATCCGGATTCTTATGCGATTCTTGTGAGGAGACATGGGATTTATGTGTGGGGGGACAATGTGCACAAGGCCAAGACGCAGTGCGAGAGTATTGATTATATCCTGCAACTGGCGGTGGAGATGAAGAAGCTGGGTCTGCCTTGGACCAAGGGTTAAGTGAAGAGCGGTTGTATGGACATAGGCCTTGTACGAGGCTAGCGATAGAATAAGGAATACGAGCACGTCGATTACTATACGATTACATGGATAGTCAGCACCAGTAAGATGGAATGTGGTACACTTTCGATTACAGATGGCACTAGGCTGGGTTGTCGCTTACTATCCTGGTTCCAGCAGGCCAGAAGTAGCAGCTGGGCATGAACTACCCCACATTGCCTTACCTACTGATCCCTCCATGTCACTCCGTACTCCAAAACAGGTTGAATTATCATGTCGAGAAGTGGCTCTCATTGGACAAATTTGTGGACATCTTTGGGATTAAATTGCTACAACATCAGGCGATCCATGATCGACATTCTATAATAAATTATTCAGGCGAGCCTTCTCTCTCTGCGTATAAATGGCTTTGCAGTGCCCTCCTCGAACCTTGTTCACTTAGTCCGCAGACCGACCAGCAGTTATGTCGTCCCATACCATCAGCCAGAAGGCTATATTGTATTTGGAAACATATATTGATGTTGCTATTGACCCCGGCCCAGGTGCGCCCGACCTTCCGTTTGCTCTCGTCCATGTTGTAAATGCGCAGAATAAGGTACTCTTCTCCTACGGCAATGCTCCAGACAAACGGCCTACATCGAGCTCCATGGTCATCGTTCAATCTCTAACAAAGATTGTCGGGGCGATGGCTTACATGCAGCTCGTCGAGAAAGGTCTCGCGACGCTCGACGATCCCGCGACTATCAATAATTGGCTTCCTGAACTGGCCACCAAACAGGTCTTGACAGGCTATACCATTGATTCCGAAATCGGAAAGAAAGTATGGCAGCTAGAAGATAGAAGAGGCGACATCACAGCAAGGATGCTGATGAATCACACATACGGCGGTGGCCATACCTACTTCAACAAGCTGTTGTTAGAGTATATACAGGACCTCGGCGAAGGTGTCTGGGAAACAACAAACGAAGCATCAAACCCTTATGGGATACTCCTCGCGAGCCCTCTACTCTGGCAGCCAGGCACGCATACAAACTACGGTCAGGGCCTAGACTGGATCGCCGTCCTCATCGAACGCATCACCAAGCAATCTCTTGCCTCGTACCTCCAAGACAACATTTTTGATCCACTTGGTCTAAAGGAAATCGGTTTCGAGCCGCAGTACGGCGGCGACGTCGTATCGTCGCCGCACAACACTGGCAAGTTCTGGCCTAGGAAGCTGCGGAGTGGCAAAGGTTTTGTCAGTATCGATCCCCCTGAGCCCGAAACGGTGAGAAGACGTGACGCGTTCCCTGGGAAGGAGGGCGATCACCATGTCGGTTGCTTGGGAACGGGATTAGTTGCTAGCGTGGGGGATTACGCGCACCTTGTTACTGTCCTCCTACCGCAGAACGCTGGCGTGGATCCTGTTAGTGGCCGGCGCATACTCTCCTCCGAAAGCGCCATGGAAATTTGTCGTCCGCAGTTGCCTGAAGCTCTTCGCAATGACACTCGCTGTTTACTAGACTCGGCTGCGGCTCCAATCATCGTCCCTGTGGATCTTTCTGCACCGCTTCTTGATCCGCACGGTAGTTTTGGTTTGGGTTGTGGTGTGCAGGGCGCGGATAGGGTCCTTGCTAATGGAGAGAAGGGGAGAAGCGAGGGGAGTGTGTATTGGTATGGTGCGACGAATGTTGAGTTTTGGATTGACAGAGAGAAGGAAATCGTGGTGGCTATTTGGGGAAACTACTATCCTTTTTGCGAGAAGACTTGGATGGACTTTGTTGGGGGTGTGGAAGGACTTTTGTATAAGGGACTGGAAAGGGAGTAGCTGGGTTTAGGTGAGCTGAATGGACTTATGCACAGGTTTAATATCTTTTGTTAATCAAACACCTGCAGTACGCTTTGCGTAGCCCTTATCACTACTAGGAAAGTGGATCAACGATGATAACATGGAGGCTTCTTGTCAGCGTGTCTGGATGCTCCTTCCCAAGCACCCTCTTGAACGTCTCCAGAGAACTACCCGCTTGGGGGTTCACATTGCAATTCTCATATTCCGGTTGCCCATGATTCAGGTCACCACACACTGATATGTCATCATTCAACGCGTTAAGGTCAATTTGCAGAAGTAAAAAGAGAGCCAACATAGTGGAACGATAAGTTTGTTTCCTTGCGATAGGTGTGTATATCTAACTCAAAATGCGTATGGTGAAAGCGCACGCTTACTGATCAAGGAGACACCAACATACCATCTTCCGAAACAGGGAAATCTATCATCGATTATCCAAACGGACAACCTAGCTATAGCGACTGCTTCTACCTCAGAGCTTCGGACGTGAAACTAGAGCAGTGGAAGTGATCCGGACAACGACAAACGCTCGTTTACCGCTTGTACTCTCAATCTCTGCACTAACTTCCACATGTGCTTCATTTACAGTCTCCCGACGTTTGGGAGTAACATGAGAACTTACACTCTCATTATCCCGGCACTCCTTCTCGCAGTTAGAGCCCCACATGGTAAGTGCCATTGTATTCGTCGGAGTCCACGCTGGACATGATGCTGAAACGATGAAGTGGAAATCTTTCCCGCCTGGAGGACAGGCTGTGGTTTGCAGTTTGATTGCAGATGCAGCTCCGGATGCATTACCGCTGCCGGTTGCCCAGACACCCCAGGAGACCAGGTCGCTGTCTGTGATTTGCCTCGGTGGCAGTTTGCTAAATGTCGCCGCTGGCCCATACTGCAACATGTCCCAACCGTCCGTCCTCGAGATTTCGTAATCCGTTTCATTGATGACAACAATGATGCACATCTGCTTTGTCTGCTTGGAGTTGTACATTTCGCAGGTTCCCATGACCGTACGCGCAATAGTTGGAACCACCACGTTGGTCCCGATATGCGTCAGGATTTCTTTCAATGCCTTAGGCGTAAGAGTGCGCGCCCTGGCGGCAACCCAAGCTGCCCAGGTTTCCGGTGGAATATCTGGGGCCTGAACCATGGGCAGAACCTGTGGTCCTGCATATCTTGCAGCAATTATTGCCAGCACTGCAGAAGCCGCCGATGCAAAGCCGGGTTGTAAGAGCGTAGCCGTCAAGATCGCCCTAGAAACAACGTTGTCCAGGTCTTCAACGTATGCAATCTTCATTTCGTCCGTGCAAATCGCAATTGAATCAGCATTTCTCGTAAGCCGCTCTCGTAAAGTATCATGTTTTAACCCGAGAAGGTCCTTCGAATACGACCAATACATCTTGGAGTTGAAGGCAGAAGTCCGACGTTAGTGATATGTATAGCGATGTTCAAACGAGGCGACGTGATAGATGACGAATAATATTGGAGAAAAGGCTGTTATCTGGTATTGACAAAAACCGTTCATGGCTACTTAAGAATTTCCATATGCAGCACCGATGATAGATTCTTGTCCGTAAGAAGACGAAGCACAACCACTCACGGAATAGCCGAGGCGGTTTTGATGAGTTAGGTATAGATGGGCGCGAAGGCCTGTTCTCGCTTCGAACACGGACTGGACACGTGCGCACGACAAGGGTCATGCAACACTTAGGGTTCGATCTAGACCTCGAGTGCGTGCCTTTTGTAGGCAGATTGTTACGCAGTGCGGCGACATGTACATCTCAGCCAGCCACTGATAGCCTAAAGTGCAATTCTGATTTTGGATTTTCATACTAGGCTCTATCAACATCTGCTCTTCGGAATGGCCGTACATTCACCTTCCTTTTTATCTATTCTAGCCATGAAATGTGGCTTTGAGGTTTATCGAAAGTATCATGTGGCTTATCCACTGAGTCTGGACCGGACTTACACGCGACCGAGCAAGAGCTCAGGCTTCATTCGTACCTAGGTGGACTCGGTCATGATT